CTCCAGCATCAGCGAGCAGCCCGACCGACGCTTGCTTTCCGCAACCTCGTCGGCTCGCTCCTGTACCTGGCCACCGCACGAGACCAGACGTCAGCTTCGCGTGCGGACTGCTCTGCCGTTACATGGACCGTTACACGACGGTCCACTGGCAGGCAGCCAAGCACGTCGTGCGGTACCTGAAGGCGACGAGCGAGCACGGCCTCCTCTACAAGCGACGCAGCGGCACGCGCAAGGACCAGCCGCTGGACCTTGTGTGCTACAGCGATGCCAGCTTCGGAACGGACCAGCTGACGGGCCGCTCCACGACGGGCTTCACCTGCTACATCAACGGCTGTCTTGTGTCTTGGAGCAGCCGGCTGCAACCCACGGTTGCGCTGAGCACCGCCGAGGCCGAGTACATGGCCATCTCCGCTGCAGCGCAGGATGTCGTCTTCCTGCGGCAGCTGCTCATGGACCTCGACGAGCCCGAGGCTGGAGCCACCAAGATGCTGACAGATAACCAGGCGGCCATCGCCATCGGCAACGACCACGTCACCAAGCCGCGCACGAAGCACATCCGGGTACGCCACCACTTCGTGCGGGAGCTCATCGCCGACGGAACCATTGTGCTGCAGCACTGTCCCGGCACGCAGATGGTTGCCGACGCGCTGACAAAGGCACTAGACAAGCAGACCTTCGAGCAGCACCTGCCACGACTGGTGGGAACTTCGACGGCTGAGGCGGAGCAGAGGAAGGCAGTTGAGGGGGAGTGTTGAGAGTGAGTGAGTTTCTGTTTTGTGTTGAGTCCTTCCTACTTTGCCTTCTCATGTGGGTTTGTCTGGTTTGCCAACAACACTGCTTTGTGGCTTTTCGTTTGCAAACATTCCTTCCTCTCTGCTGGCATGCATGTGTGCCAACTGCCTCTCCTCTCCTCCTTCCCCTGCACACGTGAGTTGTGTGTCATGTGTGCCATGTGTGTGTGTGCATGCCCGTCATGCTTGGCAAATGCCATGTGTGCGTGCCATGCAGTGTTGTGAAGTGTTGTCTGTTGTGTATGCTTGCCTGCAAGCATTCATGCCATGCCTAGCATTGCTCTGCGCGCATGTATGCATGCTGTTCGCTGTTTAGATTGTTTGTGTTCGTGCACACTCTGCCCATGTCGCCTTGGCAGCTCTGTTGGCTGTGTGTGCACTTGTCTAGTGTTTGTTTGAGCGTGCTGCCCGAGTTGATTAGGCAGAAGCTTGTTGTACTTGTGCATTCTCCTTGTGTTCTTGTTTGTTGCGTTTGCCTACAGTAAACACACACACCACCTGTCGTGTTTCTACAGAGATGGCCTTCTTGAACGCGGCCATGTCGCTGTCGCTGTCGGCGAAGATGAGCAGGTCGTCCACGTAGACGGCAACCCACATCACTTTGCCACCCTTGCAGGTGCGGCGGTAGATGCAGGCGTCCGTGGCTGTGGCGACGAAGTCCTGCTCGCGCATCCAGGCGTCCAGCGTGTGGTTCCACAGGCGCGGGCTCTGCTTCAGCCCATACAGCCCGCGCTTGAGGCGCAGCACCGTATTCGGCGAGAAGATGCCGTCGACAGGCACGGTGGCTGGACGTAGATCTCGTGATCAACGGGCGC